AAAAAAAAAACTATTTTTTTTCGACTAGTGAGCAATAAACCGAAAGCTATGAAACACGATAGCATACGTATCGAGCAGAAAACATGACAAATTGGACTCGTGCGGTCGTCTGTTGTTCTCTTTTTTACGTAGCCTTCAGGCAAGAACAGTATGTTACGAATGGATTTTATAATAAATTCTGTGAATAAATTGCGGTGTACATTGCACTAACTGATGATTATGATTATTATTACTTGACACACACTTTCTTTTCGTTAAATTAATTTCTCTCGTGATCGATAATTTTCTGGTTTTTAACCTTTTTTTGACTTTTGTTTTAATTCTTTTACGATTACATTATTCCAAAGCAAGAAGCACAGTTTAAGAATGGTAAAACAAGAACTGTGTACAGAATCACAGTGAACGTAAAATAATGTGAGCTGCTAATGCCTATTATTTACCATTTCACGCTTTGCAACGTTTGTAAACTTTTCATATCATGTCTGCTGAAAGCATAAATAGCGAGTTCTTGACGAAGTGGACATATTTTGCTTTATTCAATAAGCAATAGATCGAGAGTTATTAAAGTTTGCAGTGAACGTTAATCATTTCACTTAGCAAAATTCTCTCCCCAGGTACAGCGACTTACCTGTTTAGGCTTTTCAGTACCCACATTTGGTTGGGAACATTTGTGATCGTCATTATACTCTTTGTGACGTGCTCATTTTCGACAACCAGGACTAATTTTAACATGCATCCTACAAGGTTTGTGCAAAAGTTGCTTAAGAATAGCTCATAAAAAGAATTTTTCGTTTTTTAATACAGAAAAAAACCTCTTTTTTAACTAGACAACAGTTCGAAATCAAAACATTAAACTTTACTGTTTTCAAGCTCAAGCGAAAAATACGCAGCTGACTCATATTTCAATCTGCTCACTTAAGCACTCGGCTATAGCAACATGTAAGGTGCTGTGAATATAAAAAACGCGCAGGGTTTTAAAGTTACAAGTGATATAAAAAGTTGTAGATGCAGAGCGATTACATGTTTATTAACATTGGTGACTACCTGTTGTGCTTTTTAAATCAAAAATACTTAAAAATAGCGCATTTCTCAATCTATTACTTACTTTACGACGCTCTTAAAATATTACAGATTTATTATGCAATACAAGTTTCGATAATGTAGTCATCGCCTGTCATTATCACTGTCGCAGAATTTTTTTTGTTAGTCGCTGCGCTTTTCAAACATTTCTGCAAGAGAAACATGAGTAAAAGTGATAAGTCATAAAATTCTTCAGTAAAAGCGAACAACTGTTTTTAGTACAATCGCTAACTTCGATGACGAAACAGCTCAAGTACTCAACATTCTTAAAAAGTCGCAGGGCAAAATTTGGGAACCTGATGAAAAAGCTCTGGAGAAAATCCTGATGTCTAAAGCTGTAAAAGACAAAAAGGTAAACAAGACTTAAAGGCTAAGGAGGGCTTTGTTAAAACGTTAAAATTGAAGCACTTTTTGTTCTGTTTTTTCTAAGAATTGAGTATCATAATTTTCGTAAAAATAGCTGATTTTTAATGCTTTTTGATAGTGATCTTTAAAGAAAATTTCTTTGTTAAAGGTAGCGGTAATAAGCATTGCCGGCCCCGCTCGTTCTGGAAAGAGTTTTTTGTTAAGTCTTTTGCTAGAGGTTGCGCAAGCAAAAGAGCGAGGTTTTTGTGAACGAAGAAGGATGACAACGCTGGGCACTGGTTCAGGATTCAGCTGGAGAGGAGGTTCCTGCGTTGCATTTATCGTTAAAAAGTACTATCAAACAAGTAGTTCAATCTTCATTCTGTTTAGGAAATGGTTTTTTTGAAGAAACAGAATTTTTATGCGTTTTTCAGGAACAAACAGGGAGACGTCAGGCATAAATATGTGGTCCAAACCTTTCCTGCTGAGGAATCTAGAAGGAGAAGAAATTGCTGTTTTATTAATGGACACTGAAGGATTTTTTGATGCAAAGTCCACTTGGGAAGGGTGCGCAAGAATTTTTGCCCTCTCAAATTTAATATCTTCTGTACAGGTACGCAAATGCTGCGACAACTAAACAGTGAACTAAATACAGTGCCAATTATAAACTTCCTCGTAAACAATAAAACCAGCTTTAAAAAAAATATGTACTAGTTTGCGATTTACTGCTGTTTTTTGTTTAGATCTATAACCTTAGAACAACAATTCAACAAGACTTTCTTAAGCACGTAGAGATATTCGGGCAATACGGATTACACGCAACAAAAGAGAAAAAAAATAAACCGTTTCAGGTTACACCTAAAATTTTACCTCAGTTTCTACAAGGTTATGCCGGGTTTCTCAACTGACGCACTAAAAATAAAGTGAGAAATTTTCAGAATCTTTTGTATTTGGTACGAGACTGGACTGTTGAATACGAGCACAGTTATGGATTTTACGGAGGAGAAACATACTTGAGAAAATTCACCGAAGTAAGAAGCATTACTAATATTTTTAAAACGTCTTTAAAAAACAGCTCAAAAAATATTGCATTTTTCAATTTTTAAAAATGTATTAAAAAAACTTTATAAATAAAATATTTCCTCGTTCTAGCCTTGATAACCGGAAGATTTTGTAGGGCTCTTCGCCAGAAATTCAAGAAATTTGTAGAAATATAGAGCATTGTTTTGAATCGTCTTCCTGCTTTTTAATGCCGCATCCAGGTCTCCAAATTGCTAGAGCTAAAGAACCGTCTAAGTCTTTAGGTATGTTTTCTTTTACACTTCCTCTTTCTAAAAAAATAAGAATAATCGTAGTTTTTGTTCTTATTCTAGCTATCGACGAGGAATTTCGGAACTGTGTCCAGTTATTAGCAGAAGAACTATTTTCTGGCAAATATTTAACCGGGAAAAAGATAGGTGGCTGTGAAGTAACTGGGAAAGATTTGTTTAGTTTTTTCATTGTAAGTTTAAAAAGTTCTACAGTTTTTCTTCTTTCTTCGCCGCGCAGTGAAATTTTTTATGTGAAATGATCGTGGCTATAAGTGTTTAGAAATCCACAAAGCTATTCAACTGTAATACCGTTCCACCACCAAAAGCATTGTTTGAGGTTAG